GATAAATAGATAGATGGATAGATAGATAGATATATAAATAGTTAAATGTGATTAAATGATAGAGTTAAATGTTTGTTTCAAGTTTGTTATTGCAACTACGTTATCGTTATCGCACATCAAAATTCGGAGGAATTAAGTCCCTCCATGATAAACAATAGCATTGTCACGTAACGTAACGTGATAAATGCCATGTGTTTTTAATGTGGACATCTGTTAAGACAGATGTCCACATTAAAAAAACTTGTTTCCTTAACATTTCAGGTGTTCTTTGTTTTATTTCCTTGTTTGTTTGAAGTAACTCTTTGGAAATCAGTATATTTTTCAGAATAAGTGTTTATTTTTGGAAACAGATTTTGCTGGAGAAAGAGGGGAGTGACTTTGCTGAGTAAGTTTCTGTTTCTCTGAAGCAAATAGAGGTCAGAGAGGTGTGTGTGTGTGTGAGTGTGTGTGTGTGTGTGTGTGTGTGTGTGTGTGTGTGTGTGTGTGAGTGTGTGTGTGTGTGTGTGTGTGTGTGTGTGTGTGTGTGTGTGTGACAGAGGTCTGCAGGGAACAAAACAGGACTGTGATGGTAATTTCACTTTTCTCTCAAGGTAACTTACAGTAAATTCTACTTGCTGTTAAATACCTCTTACATGTGCACAGATCTGCTGACAACACACATGCATTCACACACACACACAGATGCAGGAGTCACATGAAACGATGAACACATGGTCATTGCTATATTATGAGCAGAGTAAACAGACCTGAAAATTGTTGGGGAAAAAAATACTTCAGGATATATTTCTGGGAAGGAGAAGTAAATGGCGAGCCATGTCGGGCTTGTAGGCTCAACGGGAATAGTTTATTATTCATGAAAGAAAAGCATGAGGGAATAATGCCTGTAATCTGATTGGATGGATACTTACCAAATTATGTTCAAAGTTTCTTCACAGTTGTTCACAGCATCTGGAAAGAATAAAAGCTGCTTGTTTGATGATACTATTTTTGAATCTGGATTTTTCTCGTTTGCCAGTATGTGACGTCTTAGTGCGCAGGAAACATTTGAAGGTAATGTAATGGTCTTTCTTGATGAAGTCAGTGCTATAATTTAATGTGACCACAAAGTGCAATGCATATTTATTGTTATTTATGTCCTTTGCACACCAGTAAACAATCAGCATCAACAATTCTTTTCTCTATAATTTTACATGTCTCAACCTTACTATATAGAATGCCTTGAGATAATGTATGCTATGATTTTGGGCTATAAAATTAAAATTGAATTGAATTAAATTAATTGACATGTTTTAAACCACAACTGGAGTTTTTCTCTTTGTTCGGATGCCTCTTTGATCACAGAGAATCAGTCCGATTACATCCCCTGGAAGGTGGCAGAAGGAGGCTGCAAGGCGTCATCAATAATTCATGAGGACGGCCACATGACTTATGGGAGCATGTGAGTCACATCCTCATAAGACGTGTGTGCCCAACCTAAATCTAACTATTCACACTTTCACACATTTTAATCCCCCGTGTGTTGTATCCACTGACCCTTTAAGGTCAGGAGAAGGGATGAGGTACTTTAGCGGTGCATGATGTTGGGTAATATACAGACCTAAGAGGTAACAGACCTAAGTGTTACAGCACGTGTTGGGCCTTGTTAATAGGCCCTGCAAAGCATCGGGTTACTTTTCCAGATGTAGCATTGAAACCAGGAATTCCACTCAGCAGGTTCTGCCTGGATGAGTCACAGGAATGATGGGAATTTGGATTGAGTGATCCTGAATCTGCAGCCCTGCAGGACGAGGTGTTGTTTTCACCCCCACTTGAGTGACGTTAATTCCATAAAACTAGTCTGAAAGGACCTGAATCAGCATTTCATTGGGGGTGTTGCTTCAGAATGAGTTGGAGCTCTGCAGCGGTTCTGTTTGAGCAAGCAAATCATTTTAATAAAATGTATTGTTAAGCAACAAAGGAAATTCAAGTGTTTATTTTGAAGATATGGACAGAACAAAAGTGGTGTCTTACAGTGGATTAAATAAAAGGCTTTTTATCATTAAACACTTCAGGAAAGAGTAAATAACTCAGTTTATGTGGAAATAAAACTACCGGACCATATTAGGTTTGTATTGAAATTTGAATTAATGCAAACATCACAGGCCCAGTGGTGTGAAAGCAAAATGTGATGTGTACTGAAACCAGATCATTAGTAGAATATTAGATAGAGTTGGACAATATACAATTCAAATGTATGTTCTCTAAACTACACAAGTTTCTATTAGTCTTGTTCATATATCAACAAGTACATTGGAAAGCGAATCTTTTTAAACTACAGAGTCAACTAAATATATTGGAACTATTGTCCATCAGTAAGTGAATCTAGGTTTTGCCAGGAATTACCAGATATTTCAGTGAGAGGTGCATCTTCATGTAGCAGAGGCTTTGTCCAGTAATACGTCTGCTTGTTCTACACATGCATATCCATGTTTCAGAGGTGCTCCAGCGTCTATCACCAGACTGACTCTCCTCCCCCTGCAGTGTCGTGTGAGCTGCAGGTTAAAGGCCCGATGAGACAGTCAGCCGGCAGCAGGTTTAAGAGAGTTCCCTCGTTATATCTCTTTGAATGAGCTGACTCACGACTGAGCAGGAGGTCGACTGACTGAGTGAAAGACAAATCCTCCTTTTGAAAGTAGCTCCCTGTCATGTGAAACACCTCAGAGTGAAGTTTTTGAAAAGGCAGCTGCTGAGCTCCAACTGGACGACTGATTAATAAACCAGAGTAAAAATAAATGCAAACCAGACAACGGCGACCACAAAACACGTTCTAATAAACTGCAGATGTTGAGCCTTAAACACGTATACATGAGGTAAAAGGTAAATTTTGACCCCCTCCTCAAAACAAGGGAAGATCTTCTCAATGTTAATGAGACCTCTGTTTATTGGTGCTCTTGACAAGGTATTTTCAAATGTATGTGCATCTTATTTTATCTTTTCCCAGCATGTTAGAGCTGGGAAAAGATAAGAGAATATTCAAAATGTGTCAGATGTTTTAAATGTGTGTGCAAAGCAGTTTTGAACTTTGACTTACAACTTTGACTTTTCAAAGCAAGACACATTGTCCCCCTGGTGAATATGAAAATGTCTGTTCTGCTCAGTGAAAGTCAAACATCCAAGTAGTATGGTACCCAGTAGAGTGCATACCTCTGTCCCCATATGAAACCACATTTGAATACACTAGTTTGGGATTTTTTGATTTGAATCTGCCCCAAAGTGCACTCAGTCCCCTAAACATGCCTTCACCAGTAAAAGACCTTTAAAGCACATTTT